CATTCCGCTGCCGAGAATCACATGCTATTGTTGAGTCAGTCCGCAAATGGCGGCACTATCTAATATACAATCGTTTCGCTATTATTACTGATCAGTGATCTCAAGTTCAAGTTCAATTTGGACAGGAACGGTAGGAAAATTCCCATGTGTTCCTTCTTCAATGCGTCGTTGAACCAAGATGGAGTTCGCGGGAGCGATTGGAAACCGAGAAGAGCCAAATCAATACTCACGGATCACATCACGGCCAGCCAATCAGTGCCCACGTGGTCTGCACTAGCAGTCCCCGCTGTACCGGCCACGTGAATAAGAATAAAGGCTAACAGAAGGGAAACAAAAAATGATGATAACTGTAGTACAGGAATGTGTGGATAAGACAGTAATAGTAATAGGTATGAGAAGCCAAGGAAACGGATAAGTTAAGGACCAAAAGGAAAGGTCTGAAACTGCAACCCAAGGGCGTCGAATCGATGTCCAAACTTCACCGTTGGTGCTAATACTACTTCGCTGGGTAATGCGTTCCATGGTTCGATGACCCTGGGTGATAAACGAAAGTCAGCTCTAACGCGATCAGGTCTGTCTCATTCGCATTTAACCTCGATCAGTAGGGCAAGATCAAAAAGAGTAAGATTCGGCGCTGGCACATTGAACTCTCATGTTATACTTATGACTTAGTTTACCACAGCGGAAGTGATGACGTGACTGCAGACGCTTTATCGTGCACATGTGGCTCCAATCACATACCATGACGCTGCAGGAATTACATGTTACCATGCGCCATCCCGAAGTAACTAGAATATTTCATCTGGTTCGTTTACGGAACCTGCTATTCTCAGTCATTGAGTTTATTGAGTTGTAGAGAGCAGGAGGGAAATCCCTTGTCAGCCCCATGGATTCCGTATCATACTGGGTTTGATGCGCGTCGTTGCATTACGACGTTCCTCGAGGGTTCGTCGCAGTTGCAGTGACAGCCGCAAGATTCCAGCACTCTCAGCGAATGCTTGTCTAGCAGCCGCTTGAAACTTTCCTCGGATGGAGCGTCTGCAATTTCTTCCGGTAGGCTGTTCCAATCATTCACCACTCTAGTGGACAGGGTGACGTCCATGCGAATTCTGTGTCTTCTTTGCTTAAACAGTTTCCATGTGTGACCTCGTGTGGAATAGTCAGTGTTGGGCCGGAAGAATTGCTAACTCACTCCCAAGTTCCTCTCGGAGGATGCGCCCCGTCGCCCCGGCGACGGCGGAATTCGAGGGAGAACAGATTTAGCTGCTGGAGTCGAATAGGGTACGGGAGATCACGAAGCTCCAGAACAGCTTTCGATGCACGTCTCTAAACCTTTTCCAGCAGAGCGCATTCAAACTTTGAAAGCGGATGGCTAGCTGGAAGGCCATATTCTAAGACAAGGATATGAAGACAATGACCACCCGTTACAACAGTTTTACTGAGTTGAAACCCAGCTTTTACAAATCGTTCGGAACGTTCATCAAGACGACGCACATATTGGAAAGATTAAACAGATGTTAAGGGACTTCTGCCGTCGGTGACGAACAAAAGTACCTGCTCACCATCGTTGACGAATACTCCCGCTTCCCGTTTGCTTTTCCATGTAGCGATATGATCTCATCTACTGTGATTCGTGTCTAAGCCAACTATTTGCGGTCTTCAGCATGCCACTCTATGCCCATTCTAATCGTGGTTCGTCATTCATGTCACACGTGGCGTCATTTTCTTAACCAGAAAGGTACCGCAGTCAACCGGACAACACCGTACAACCCTTAAGGCAATGGGTAGATGGGACGCATCAATGGTGCCATCTGGAAATCTATTGACCTTTCGCTTAGAACCAAATGTCTTGAAATCGCTCAGTAAGAAAGTGCACTGTTGGACGCATCGCATACCATTCGTTCTCTTCTCTGTACCGCCACACCCCACTCTTCTCGTACAACCGCAAATCAACATCAGGAGTTTCGCTGTCGAGTTGGCTCAGTGTGCCAGGAACCCTGTTACTGCGTCGTAATGTGAAAGTCTCGAAATGCGATCCTTTAGGCTATGAGGTTGAGCTATTGGATTGCAATCCGCAGTACGTCCACATTCGATTCTCAGAAGGAAGAAAAGACACGGTTTCACTGCACAACCTGGCACCATCAGGACTGGATCTGTCTAGTGGCCCATTTACTCTCCATCCCATAGACCTTCCAAACGAACCAGTTACATCCACAACAGCGGAAACTCAGATGCTTCAAACTGATCCTTTTTGTTCACCAAATTCTGCACATGTTTTTGAGCAACAGCAAAGAACGCGAGCATACAATCTTCATAATCATGAAGCTTAAAAACAGCGTTCTATTTACTTCCTAGTTAACAATTGGACCGGGGAGAATGTTATGCGAACTTCATTGCGTTACACTAAGCTTACAATACTTCATTTCAGCCTAATCGACAAGAGTCTGCAAAGTATCGGCTCATCTGTTTTCTGCATGCTTATAGAGAGGATGCTCAAGCGCGTTCTCAATCTGCATTTTCCGAACATCAAGATCATTCCAAATGTACAACATGGGTTTCGTCGTCTGCTTTCATGTAATTGAATTGGAGGGGCGAATTTAAGTGGGGGATGGATAAACCAACTCACAACACAAACGCTATAGAGGCCGGATCCTAGCCATATCGGCAAGTGTGTCCAACTAAACGTGTTCATCGTCTTTCGGACCTTAGCCATACAGTCTGGATGCACCAACCGACGCCAGCTTCGAAGCAAGGGCCTTCACTGCGCTCGACCTAATCATCGTTTCGCCACTCCTCCTCTTTTTCCATCCAGACCCCCGGCACGCAAACAACGCACGTCGCGGGAGTTGGTATACAGGCATGCGCAACACGTGACCCAGCCACGTGAAATAAGAAACAGAAATATAAAAGTAATAAAAGTGTTAAGAACCGAAAAGTAATAAAGATTTAACATTACAATAAGGCGAATAAGCTAAGATGTGAAGGGGAATTTAGAAACTGAGGGCCAAAGACATCAAGTCGGTCTTGGAACTCTTTCACCGTTGATGGTAACACCACGCTCTCAGGCAGTGAATTCCAGAAGTCAACCACTCTGCTTGAATGACGAACGTCCGTCCGGACACCATCCGACCGACGCTTGTGTAGCTTCATCAAGTGACCTCGGAGAGACGGAAGCCGAACTGGTTGGAAAAGCCCAAATAAATCAAGCCCCATTTTACGGGTAAGTATGCGATAGGTCAAGACCAAGCTGCCTCGATGGCGGCGATAATGCATTAAAAACATTCCCAGCGCAAGTAGTCTTTCTGTGTAAGAAATGTTCCGTAGCCCATGAACGAATTTGATTCCAACCCTCAACATTCGCCACTGACATCCTGTCTCTGACTAAGCAAAGTGGACAAGTCTGGAGGCAGTATTCCAAGTGTGACACAACAAAGGCTGAGAATAACTTAACAAACATATCGCCGTGCGGATCATTTGGAGTACGAGAAGGATTCGGCTAACGCAGCCGTAACAAATCCAAAGTTCTTTGCTTAGGTAAAGAGACGTAGCAGTACAAACTCGTCTATAGCGGCTTAACTACGAGCGGACGGGACCCATTGGCATACCGACTATGATAATGCTTGTATACTTAGCGAACAGTATACTGGTGTCTTTTCTCATGCGGCCTTTCTACCTCAGGTTGAGCTGGTCACAAAAGTTCCAGAGGATTCTTGCCTAACTGAAATAAGCATAACGGAGACACAAGTCTTCAGACTATTGCAAGGGCTAAATCCTTCCAAAGCTTCTGGCCCTGATTCAATTCATCCGAAGCTGATGTATGAATTGGCCGCTGAGCTAAGTGGCCCACTGACGTGCAGGTTTACAATATCACTCGATAGCTGTGCCTTACCTTCGGAATAAAAGAAGGCAATCATCTGTCCGATTTTTAAGGGCGGGGACAGAGTTCTGCCCGCGAACTACCGGCGTGTCAGCTTAACAAGTGTAGTAGTTAAGTTGTTTGGAAAATTGGTCAGGAATTCGGTGGAGAATCACCTGATTAAGTTTAAACTTCTCAGTACGGTCCAGCACGGATTCCGTACGGGATTTTTATGTCTGACAAATTTACTTGTAGCTCGTGAAAGCTGGGCTGCGGCAGTAGAAAACGGCCACGCCATCGACGTGCTTTTCGTTGACTTCTCGAAAGCCTTTGATACTGTCCCACATCAACGACTCTCATTGAAGTTGAGATCGTATGGGATATCTGGAGCCGTCCTTAAATGGTTTTCTGCTTTCCTAGAGGGGGAGAACAGAGTGTATGCGTGGGGCGTAGCCTTTCGCTTAAACAAGCTGTTCTTAGTGGCGTTCCGCAGGGCTCGGTTATAGGGCCGTTGTTTTTCGCAATTTATGTCAATGACCTACCCCAGGAGCTTGGAGAACCGTCGCTATTGTTTGCTGATGACCTCAAGCTCTGGAATATTGTGGATATCCCTGCTGCCTCTGAGGCACTTCAGAGTGAAAAAGTTTGTCCTGTTCTCCGAGCTGCGCAATTCTGTTGCAGACGTTTCGTTACCAAACTAGGTAACATCTTCAGTGCAGCTATTTGATGCTGATTCGCGAAGTCTCGCAAACCAATGCCAGATCTGAATGGCTATTGATTGTTGCCTGCTTCGAATGTCAGCCTTCGATCGGTTCACGTGTCCGTCATGTGGGCACCTCTTCTCCTTGTCGATCTGGTGCCTAATGCTGGCTTAACCTGCAGAGCTTCATACACACCCTCCAGCTCCAGGTGTTTGTTGATTGAGTTCCGGCCAGAATGCCAGGCCTCGAGGAACTCACGCGCTCTGCGGTTTCTTGCTCTTCCAAGTATTTCAACGTTCTCCAGATCAAACTGATGGTTCTCGGCATCCATGTGTACCGACATGGTAACGAAACGTCTACAACATAATTGCGCAGCTCGGAGAACAGGACAAACTTTTCATCCACATCCCGAGCTACAGGTATTCTCAATAATTTCCAAACACTTCAGAGTGCCTCATCATCATCATCATCAAGAGCAGTACATCAGCCATTTGAACTGATGCTACGCTGCCATACAACCATGAGGACCTATGAAATAAAGGATAAGAAGAGGGAGAGAAGGGGGACCCAGAATGTTTGCTTAGGGTATTAAGGTTTTCAGGTAAGTCCCCCTTCTCTTCTTCAGAGTGCCTGGGATTGGTCAACCTTACGGTTGATGCCCATAAATCAGGCGACATGTTCTATCCTCCGCATTGGAGATTCTAGTCCCTCACACGCGCTATGTAGTTGGTGGAAGTGAACTCCCTGTTGTCAGTTAGCAGGTTGATCTAGGTACCACCCACACCTCATTGCTTCACACTGGGGAAATTGGAGGAAGACTACTTGTAGAGGGTTCCGTATGATGTGGTGTTTTCGCCGCTCCTTCGGTGTCCTAACGGCCAATATTTCTGTGAAGCTGTTCTCAGCTTTTGTGCGACCTCACTTACTGTACTGCATCCAGGCTTGTCCACCTTGTCTTGTAAGGGACAAAATGGAACTGGAGAGGGTTTTGCGAGTGGGTACAAGGTTAGTGCAAGGATTACGGGGGCAAACGTATCCCGAACGTTTGCTTAGCTTGGGTATGTACTCAATGCACTAACGCAGAATTAGAGGAGACTTGATCCTCACTTACCGTATCTTAACGGGTAAGATCGGTTCAGACTTTTCCTGGCTATTTAGTCCCGCCAAGCTGCCTAGTCTCCGAGGTCACCCGTGGAAGCTGCACAAACAGCGTTCTGACCGGGCAAGGACCGAAACTCGCTTGTCGCGATGAGTTATTGAACGTTGGAACTCGCTTCCGGCGCACATGGTTCGGGGGTCTACGGTAGAGGGTTTCGAACGTCAGTTAGATACTCTTGGGTGACAGTACCAGACCTTCCCCTTCTCCTAACCGACTTGTATCTTCAACTTTCCTTTCGTTCTTTTTAATTTTCTTCTCACTTTGGTATTATCATTATTTAGCTGACATTCCTCCTCTTGTTTGCTTAGCTTCACACTTTTACTTCACATAAACCGGCCTGGCAGGGACTGCTAGGCAGGAAAATGTAAGCAGTAATTGGTTGAGCAGGCTGTGATGCGGTCTTTGTTCTAGGCTTTTCAACATCTCAAGCAGGTCTGTTAATTCCCGATCCGACGATACGCAAAAGAAGGAGCATTCACGGGATTATCCTATCGTTCCCGTCCCAAATGAACTTGAACTTGAACAACACCAAGTGGTACTTCCAGCTCAGGCGCTTGCCTCGAGCGTTTTCTCACCTCCCTGTTTGAGGGCGGTTTGCGCACCTTCCTTGCCCTCTTACGCCTTTTCTTTAATGGCCCAGGAGCCCGTGACTCGCCTTCCATTTGGGGTGAGTCAATAATGCCGTCCGAGGCGTCTGTGCCAGTTATCTCCATGTGAACTGGAGCGTCCGGTAGAATGAACGCTTCAAAGGATGGATTGTCAGTAGAAGGACAGCCCGTTACAGCATCCACATTCGCATGTAAATGTTGATCATGTCTGGTTTGGTGTCTCGACAAATTCGAGAATATACTATTTATTTATATTCAGAGATTTCATAATCAAATCCACTTTAGAGTTGAGCGGGACAAGCTAGGCTAAAGCCCTCTGAACAACTGTGAACCTGGAAGCCAGTGCTTTGAATTCAGCACAGGTGAAAGCCGGGAGCTTCACTTTCGGTGAGCAACAAACAGAACATCTAAACAGGTTTTTAGTGGATGATAGCATATTGTTTTGTTTCACTCAGAGGCCAGTACAACATCTGAGATACCAGCGGGAGCAAACATCACACTGCATATCCCCAGGTGAATCCGTAGCTAGCCTTAAAAAGGCAGAATTGCTGCAAACTGCATTTGACACATCGAAGGAGAACGCAAGGGGTTCATCCGCCTCGGTTTTTCGCGAGGCCACCATGTTTAATTGAAAAATAGGTCGGAATTTAAAAACACATACATCAGTAAACCGAAAGCAATAAAAAGGCAACACAGGGTGTAAAATAGGAGTAAAAGAAGAGCAGAACCGCAAAATTACCAGTAAGCCTCAAGGAGACGCTTTGGCCAGTACCACTTTAATCGATCCAAGATATCTTGTATAACATACAGACAAGGGAGAAGACCAGGGATTGAGACGGAACGTCTATTACGCAACATGTAGGTTCTATAAAAAAAAGGATCAGTAAAATAAGAAGGAGTGAAAGAAAAGTTACAGTCAAATGTTCTCT